TAAATATTATTTCCATAAAAATTCCATAGAGACTTACAAAACTATTTTTAATGTTATTTAAATGTTAATGATTAAAAAATTTTTTATCGAACCGTTTAAATATTATTTAGAATTTTGTAATATTTTACCTATATTATTATTAGATATTATTTTTCTATACGGTACAGCCCAATAAACATATGCTAGTATATTAAATGCAACTAATACCATACCACGTTTATAACCAACTTTTATTATAGATTATTTATCTTTTAATTATTTAATTTCTTAATTGGATAAATATGTGGCGTACGTTCCGACTATCTCTGTAAAGATGGGAAATATTCCTTAAATCTCAAACACATAATAACGACGTCGCGTAACACCGCACACAATCGATGAGAAACGTGCCTACAATGTCGAACGCAAGTGATAGGATAAGTAATATCATTACAACTTCTGCCACATTGTATTTTATGATGAGAATATACCTGCATCGTGTTGTGTCGTAACGGAAAATCGCGCGCATGAACGAAAACTCGAAATATTCCGCGATGAAGGGACACGCTCGCTGTCACGGGCGGAATGCAAAGCACGACGGGTATGTCTCATTAGCAGGCATCGTTATTTTCTCAAACGGAGCATCGGCTTATTATGAGCCGTCGTAATTGTATATACGTTTCGTCTCGTCCCCCCCCCCCCGCCCTCCCCGAAAGGTACGCGGGCGCTTTAGGCTTTCTATCAAAGAGCTTGCAGTTTAAGAAGCGGAAGGAAGAGACGATGGAAGGCATGGAAGCAGTCGGAGAGTGGCCCTTTCAACGGAGACACTTTGCACCTGTTGAAGGTACAGCCACTCCTCGATCTTGCCAAACCCTCCCACTCAAAGTGATCTCCAACCTCTGGCAGTTACTAGAAAAACGCCGGCGAATTCCCTCCTAGCGCCCGATTTCGTTTCGTTGACATCTCGGAAATTGGTTTTCGATATGAGCCGCGACGTAGGTATCCCATTGTTCCTTGTGCGTGCGACAGCTGCTCGAAAACGCATCTTGCATCCCTTATTGTTTTTCTTTCTTTCCTTCTTGCCTTGACACATGTACACCTCTCGCAACGGTACGCTTTCCGCGCGCGTTTTGGAAAATTCGGTAAAAGGAATCTAAATTATAATCAGGAGTCGGGAAGGAATTCCGCGTTCAACTCAAATATTCATTCGTCATCGGGGTATACTCGAATTCAAAACACAAGAGCAAAACTGCAGTGCTGTTGCATATGGAAATGATATTCAATATTTGTGTCAACGTTATTTGCAGTTGTCACAAACATCTGTTGCATTCTTGCAAAGTACGTTTACGAGACTGCATATTGCAACTACCTTGTGCGTTTCCATATTCGAAAGCCATATTCAATTTCGCGATGACTGAAATTGGCCACGAAAATAAAATATGTTAATCAATAATTGTGAAACTTTTTTGCACTTTTGTGGACAATTATTTCTACCCTCCCGCTCTCAATCGCGCACACGTTGTAGCGATACGGAGGCGCAGAGCATCTCACGGATATCCCGCGCTTGTATTTTAACGCAATGCGAGATCATTAGAGGGGAACGCTTTGGAAAAGCGCGTGTTAACTACGGACCGCGACGTAGCGTCGTTCGCAAGCAAAATTTTGAAGAAAATTAACGCGCTCCGCCCGAAGTTGCGTCGTCTACCGTGTCCAGGTGTACACGGCCCGTTGCGCGGAGCTTGCGAAAGCAGCCGGGGGCTAACTCTTCCGCAAGCTCGCTCGGGGTCTACGAGCCGTGTCGGTGCTACCGGCTCCGCGCCGCGCCGCGCCGCGCCGTGCCAGGGCGAAGTGCATTCGATGTTCGCAGTTCGCTGCCATGGCAACAATCCCCTACAAACAAAATGCATCGTGTGCACACGACATGCCACCGGCTCTCCTTGTCGCGCTGGGGCCGGTGGTGCCCACCCGCCGTGCGTTTAGTCGCCACGGAAGGAACCGTTGCCGGGGTGAAGAAATGCCACCGGACAGGACGAGACACGACTGTAAATTCCGAGCGTGGCGAGTGTCGGAGGGGACCCGGCGGCGGCCCCGTGTGCTTTGCGAGATAAATCGTCCGGCTAGCCCCGTGCACTCGCACGGCTGCCGGGAGTGTCGAAAGGGGACACCGGTGAGCACGCGATCGGCGCCGATGATTAACGGTCGATTAAAGATAAGCGCCGACTGTTCGTTTTGCTACGTCGACACGCCGACGAGATGTTGTTACGTGGTTAACGCTTTCGCGATCGATACGGTCGATGCGTACGCTGTTACGCGAGTCTATCGATCAATTCCGAACGTCGAGTTTAAACGTAAAGCCCCTGAAATAATAATTATTAGCTCGTGTTACGAACTAATAATTAGTAGTTTCATGAAGACTGCAACCCTGTAATTGCGTGCATAGAGTTTAAGTAAAGATTCAAGTACCATACACATGCGTATTCATGTTTCAGCAGCTCTCGAATCGTATTTGTCGATTTTAAACGGAGCGAAACGAACGGGATATCGGTTTTTACTTTTGTAACAAACGCGCGATATCATTTCAATGCTTGCCAGCGTCGCACGACACAACGAACGAGAAATGAAGCGAAATAGTCTCTCGTAATCACGGACATTTGTCGCGCGCTGGCCCAAGTGTGCCGCAGCCGCCGACCGATAAAGAAACGACCTTTCTATCCTCTTAAACGTCACGGCGACGTTTTCGAATCCATACGGATTAGAAAATCCAATATAGAAAGGAGGAGCGCCACGAGGGCGTAGCGGAACCGCCACGAGCGGGAGGGTGGCCGAGGTCGCGCCGAAGGGAAATGGGTAGAAGAGAAGAGGAAAGGTCGGAGGAGGAAGAGACGGGGAGTTAGCGAAGAGAGCGAGGGGCAGAGGGGCGGGGGAGGGAGGGTGAAGAGGGCATAACACAATTACATGTGGGGTTGATGCCGAGCTCGCTCTCCGTACGGCACAGCGCGGCAGGACGAGGGTCGGGGACCGCGCGGTGAGGGTGCCCCAACGTTGGGTGGCAAGATTGAATATGAAAGTTTAATGCGAGCAATATCAGCGCCACTGCCCCGACCCTCGGCTACTCACTCTCAGACGTCTCGACTATCAGGGTGCCCATCTTGGCTGTATCTCTCTTTATATCGCGAATGCGCTCGCGCCGGCCTCGAGCGGGAAAGAGGCAGAGGCGGCAGAGAGCACTTCGAATCTTTGATGTCCCGAGGTAACCCGCAGGTCGCCTCGAGCTTGTTCCACGCTCGCGCGTAAATTCCCGACCGATTTGAAAAACTGATTTGTCAATCCGCAGCGGCGCGTCGCTTTCGACAAGCGCGCCCATTTCGATGCAAACAATGTTTAGAACGCAACGCGCGGCGCGAGAACGTAATTAACACCTCGTTGGCTCTCCTCTAGGCCCGAATATCGGTTATTTTCAACGCGCGAGAAATGGTACAACAAAAGAGGAAGCCTACGATATTGTCAATGATATATTCCATTTCCTCTTGGGCTCAATCTGCAAATCGCCCAATGCCACGAGAAATAGCTGTGCCTGTTATACGAACCGAATTATCTTTACGCTATTCCAATTGGCAAGCTGTCACACGTGCGCTTCGTTACAAAAATACCTTCCAATGTCTTCCGATCCCAATCGGAAAGAGCGGCACAAACGTATTGTAAAACAGTCAGCAGTCGTCTAGTCTTTACTCTCGCATGAAAAAGGGTAATTATCAATTAAAAACTTACTTTTGTGTAAAGATACGCTGCTTGTGGATGGGATTCACGAGCTCGCTAAGGCGTTTAGTGACTATGCCTTCGGCTATTTGTAAAACTTTCCTCATTAATTACCGACAAGATTCGATTTCCCCTCCCTTCTATACCCAATCTCCCATCCCAACCTTTTCTCACTATGGTTTTGCCCCTTTGTCCGCCATAGCGAAATGAAGTTTAATAGTGAATTACAACGTGCGTTGCTGCAACCGGCAATTATGTGCCAATTAATAAGCTGAACGTGATATCGCCGAGTCATATTTTTAATTTAAAAAAAAAATGCACGCATTGGACATGGTCTCTGAAATCGAACTGAAAGTAATTCTACGATAACGTTTTATCGTTGACGGAAGACTGACTGAAAGTCAATCCTCAATTCCCGCTACGCGTAGGAATGTCGCAGAAAAAGTCCTTCCCCAGCTAACTATGTCGCTCCACTTTATCCTTTCAGCGTCACCTCAGCACATCTGCGAGTATATCTCTCTGTCAAAGAAATAACTCCCGGTACACCTTGTACGTGTCAACGTGGTTAAAAATACAGACGTACCTATTCGCACATCGCGCCAAGGCGTACACCGACGTACCGACATTTCTTATACGGCAGAAAGTCCCCCCCCTCCCCCCTCTAGCCCGTGCTTCTTGTGTTCCGCTATCGCGCGCCGAATAATGCAAGCCCCCTCGAAGCGGCACTGCTTTGGTGACAAGCGCCTTTAAGAGTTTAGACATGCGTCAACTTAAGCAAATGCAGATCAGAGCAACGACGCGCGACGAAGTGCTCGGATCTGACAGAGAGCTGGCGGAAATGTCGACTAGCGATAGAGGCAAGGGCGCGAGATAGTTGCTAACACCACAGTGGGAGACCTCTAAAACGGAATGATGGTTACGTCACGGGAGGCCCCACTGCGAGATAGGCGAAGACGCGCGTTTGTACGTGGGATCGTGTACGCCGCGACGCGTCTGCGGTTGTCCGCAAGCGGCAAGATCGCAGATAACGCGGATGTATACCTATGGACCAGCAACTTGTAAACGTAATACAATTTTTATTTATCGTGGATCCGGAGTAGAGCTAACAATAAGTTTACGAATAACCTCTCTGCCTTTCGCTCACTCTGCTTATCTTTCTTCAAAATCATTTAAGAGGAGACCATATGTCTTGCTGAGAGAGAGAGAGGGGGGAGATGCCCAGCTGATAAAAATGAATGTCATTAACGCGTGATTAATTTGTGCAGATGCGGGGGACAGATCGTACCGTACGGGATCCGACACGGAAGGCGCAGCAACCACGGACAACCCTACAACGCCATTTCCTACGCCACCCCCAACCTTGACACCGAATCATCGGCAAGCTTCTCCGTTTCCCCTCGAAAGCACAAACTCTCGCCGGCATCATTATAACGGCAGCATATCTTCCGAGAGATCTCGCAACGGCAATGGTAGGGAGTTAATTAGAACCGCAAACGGGTTGGTTTGCACGCAAGATGATACTTACGGGCTTGCCGCAAGATGAATCTCGTCAAACGCAATTTTATACTGCGTTGTACAGCCATGACGCGTGCAAGACGAGCTTATTCCGGTAGATGGACGCAAGACGAGAAATCCCGGTAGATGGGCAATTTAAAGCGATAGGCAATGCGATATTATGCAAGGCAGCGTCAACTATCGGTTTCAACCCTAATATAATATTTCGCACTTCGATCCGTTTTAAACACCCCACACCTGTAGCTATTAAACATTGTGTGTGTTTTATGTTAGACATCGTGCCACTCAAGTTCAAATAATTCCCGGCCCGTATAAAAATTATTTGCTGAAAGTTACGATTTAGTCTGCGCGAAAAGATGTTACTTAGTAATTTCGCTTCTTTAAAAGTAATTTCGAAAGTATTAAAGGACCCGAGTGCTTTCTTTGTCGTGCTAATGGAGGATTGAATTAAGCGGTATGATTCCTGTTCGTTAGCAAGACCGTTTTTCGATGGAAAAAATTCCTAGGCTATTCAAAAGTATTCGTATCTTCTTCGTTGCAGGTGAGACCGTTTACGCGGCGCCCACAAAAAAGACGACTTCCGGCGGCGGTACCTTAGGTCGAAGAACACGCCGAGGTCATGCAAGCGCCTTGAGCAGTAGCTCCACAGCGAGCGATCGTTCCGAAACCGTCTTCCCCGATGAACACACACGCATACATCTCACCAATGGTAAGAAACTGGAGTTTCTTTTTCTACTCATGTATCATCGCGCGATTATTACTTCACACGCATGATCATCGCGTCACATCGCATGCCATCGCACACCATCGCTTGAGGCAATTCTTGTAATTATTGATTCGCAATACGAGTGTAGTGAGCCAAAGAAATAAAACTTCTGTTATCAAAGACTTCAACAATGGAACTCACTCGACGTGACGTGGATCGGGATAAATCCTCGTCGATCGCCCTGAGCAGATCGGCCCTTTAAATCACGACGTAAAATTTGCCGCGGTGCGATAAGTTAACGATCCATGCCTCAAATGCGATTACCGGACTAACCGAGTTACCGGCTGGTATCGAGCCCCTGGCCGGAGTTAAATCGGGTTTCTCGTAAACGTGTTCCTCGTTAAAAGCTTAATATTAATAGTCACCCAGAAACGCCAACGGAAAAAAAGGGAATCGCATACGGAGCTCGGCATCTAGACTCTATGTGTCTAGTTGTGTGTGTTATCAATTATTCGAAATTATTGAACATTGAGAAAAAGTTTCAAGCAGAGTACTTTCAATCTCGATTTCGCATAAATCTTATGATCGAACCGTAATTATTATTAACGAGTTCTCATTGAGCATTGCTTCAGTAATAAATGCGGAATAAGAAAACACATAATCTCATTTGTTAATTTTGTCCTAAAGAAACGTATGTGGCTATCATTTCGATTATATACCAGATAGATTATTACGAATGCCATCCGTCTCATATTTCTCATCGATGCGCGTTTGCGAGCTTCACAAAACGGCCAAAGGCGAAAGATCTTGGCAAAGGCAAACGTTTCCAAGCCATGCGTCTAGCGAACAATACCGTAATCGACAAACTACATTATACGTTGGCTCATTAAATAACCAAGGGACCTTCTATTTTGGCAGTTAGGTTCATTGTTGTCTGATGCAGTAATGTACCAGAGGCAACACTAACAGTGTCGGTAGCTGTAATGGCAGCGGCAATGGTACCGCACAAGCGCGAGAGAGAGAAAGAGAAAGAGACTCGAGCCCCGGGCTAACGGAGTTAGCAGTTGGCGCCTGGGCTCAGCTAGTTAGTTAGAGCATGGACCACCGTCAAAGTTAGCGTGACCCCGCCCGACTATATTGTTTCAAAACGTCAACAGTATTTAGATCTCTTGTCGTTGCTGGGCCGCTGCGCTATCTTGGCACACGCACTATCTCACTGTGTAACGCAGCTTCGAGCAGCAACCACCGGGAGATAAGAGAAAGTAGCTTTGCGGCTTTGAACCGGCGGCCGCGGTCGACGAGCGGCTTACGCTCGTCGGCTAAGTTTTAAACGAAATTTCGTCGGATCTCATTTCGTGTCGACGCGACGTCGATGCGGCGGCGGTCACGTCGGGTTCGAGGGAAGCTGGCTGCCAATTAGTCTACCGATATCGCGAGACAGCGAGAGCATGGATGAAAGGGCGAAGGATAGCCGGGTGGAAAGCTGGCGAGAGCGCGCGTGCGGTAAGGAGCGAGAGCTCCACCGCATCTTCGTGGACGGTTACCTCCGGAATTTCGAAGGCCGCATTGCTCCTGCCCGCTCGAGTGCGATCACATTACGCGTAGGTTTCGTGAAAATTAGCGACGCGAATTAAGCTCATGACGCTCGCTCGTGGGCATTTGCAGCGTCTATAAACATGCGTTCGAGGTACATTGTAAGCGCGGGTGTACATTATATCATAAATAAGAATAAAGTGATTCTGAAGGATCATGTGAAATTTTACATTTTCTCGTCTTTTCTAACTTTACGCTCGGCAATTTGTGTCACACGATACTCTCAGCGCTTTGCACGTTACAGAAAATCGTTTTAGTGAATCACCTAATTATCGATCAGGTACCCGGGCAATATAATTTGTTGACGCACGGCTTTGCGAGAGTGTCGATGGTGACGACGAGCATTATATAAGTTGCTGCGAGATACCGCGTATAATTACTAGGATCTCGTAAGCAGTAATTTGAGTCTGAATCTGCGATGGGATATTGCTTGCCAGAATGTCCCTGCGGTCTAATGGAGGCATGTCGCGGCATCTATTAGCAAATGGCTCCCAACGGTCAGGGCTTACCCGCGTTAACCCCGTGTGCGCCGCATCGCCAGAAAGACGATTGATATTACATTAGACCGCCGTAGTCTAATGTGGCCCAGTCGAGGAGCGCGTTATTGAATTGGCGAACGCGCGAAACCCGATAACGTTACGGTAATTTGCTACCACAAAGCTATGAAATGCACACGCCAAATGAGCGTGCTCGTCATCGTAAATGAAGAATTAGCTCGTAAAATGAAGAATTAGTGCCGCGATTCTGTGACTGACCTGTAAGTATTAACTCGCTACAACGAGGCTGCGAATAAATAAATTATCGAAAATAAAATAAAATATAATATCTATCTATCGTTACATGTAGCAAATTCTTCTTGCAATTTAATAGCTACCATTTGATACAAAGTTTTGTTAATCCATAGGATTTTCAACTATTAAATTCATCGTGAAATGTATACGTATTGCAGACATTTATACAAGTATATCAATTAGGAGAAATGCACAATTTTTGTGAAAATTAATAATTGAGCACAATGTAAACGTGCAGGAGCGAATCACCGTCGGTGGAAAATAAATTTTCCGCGGGTTTTCGCAATCGTTCAACGATGGTCGGTAATTTTTGACGGGCTCTGATGCGGGTTGTTGCATTTAATGCCGTGGAACAAATCATGCGCACCAGCAAGCTTGATGTTATCAATTCGTTCGATTGATGTAGGTTTCGCGGCATATGTTGCATGAAATAAATACACGCGGAATCAATTGACTTACGTATACAGTCAAGTAAAAACTTAAAAAAAAATAACCACGCTACAGCGCGAAAATACACCGGTATTTTTAATAAACGATAATACGCTCAGGTAAATAACTCGCGTGAATTTTCGCTTTTTGATCGTAGTGCAGTATTTAATCAAGAACACTTGATTCGTCACTTTCAACTACAATCGAATACTTTTTGTAACGTTCGGCAAGTTATACGGATGTGTCTGTTTGGCTAAGTGCCAACTTTCGACAAATAGGAATAATTTCAAGCGCCACTTGCGAACTATGCCAATAGTCCGTGTTCGCCATTACCATTATCGTTCTATTCTTTTTAGTCTACCTTTTTTCAGACTAGATATCTATGACGGCGTACATCTTTTATTACATTTAATTGTTTACAACGCAATCTTTTTATCGTTTGCATAAATAAAGGTTTATGTTGTAAAAGAAAGCAGACACTGTGAAAAGAAGGCGCGGGAATTAAAATCACGAGACATTAGGTTTATGGATGACGTTAACGGTCCTGTCTCACCACTTTACTACCATAACGCCAAGGAAAATAATTCAAACAGAATGTAATCAATGCACAAGCTTAATTGTCGTAAATTATCATATAATGCTCAGGTTACGAGCAACGTGATATTTATGAACTTTGTCCTCCGTGAAAATTCATCGTGGCGAAGCTGTTTTATGAAACCTCATCCTATTCTAAATGCACGTAATTATCTTTTTCTTACATTATAGTCGTCCGAAAAAAAAAAACATTAGCGAGTGTTTTAATCGTCAAATATAAATATGTTCGGTTCTGATATTTCGCTATGCATTGAAGGTCCGAGAATATAACAAAAGCGCGTTGTATCTCATCAATTTATCAATGGTAAATGAATCTAGGCGAGGCGCGGATGAAATTTTGTGTGTCCAGCGCGAACGAAGGCGGAAGCGGCACATAGAAATTGTACGAGACAGTTCGGACGAAGCATTCACGAATGCTAACTCGGTTTATTAGACTGTTTGGTCCGGAAGGAGTCAAGCCGGAACGATTCGTTGGACTGGTTATCGGACAGTAGGTACGGTACCTACCGTCGCGGCAATACCGCGCCGCTATAGCGCAGGCAAATAATTCGTATTTACATGAACGTGTACTCCCCGACGCGGCGGAGGCGTTAGACCGACAAATCGAATTACAGACGCGAATCGCTAACCGCATCAAGTCACTGTCGGCTACCTTGCATCCCCTTGCACTGTCTGACTAACCCTTCTCGCCGCCCGCGGATGAGGGATAACTCGGTTGAACTCGGTATCGGTGATGCGCTGGCATACTACATAATTGGCTCACAACGATTGGCCAAGACATACCGCCGGCGACGTTATATTGCTCAATAATGTGTCCAATTAGATGTCGTACGAACGCCAAACGGGTGTATGTACGCTTGTCACGTTTGTAATAACAGTCGAAAGCAATACCCAATAAATTCCGCTAAATATTGCATCAAGGAAGTTGTCTTGATCCAAACATGTAAACGATATATTTAAAGTAAGGGAGAATAGGATATAGCACTGCGCGCGCTATTCAGCTTTAATAAGAGATCGTTGAAGAGCGATTACATATGCAAACTAATATTTAAACGTTGTACGATTGTTGAAAACTCGGCGATATAATAGCAATTGTGATGAAATAATATTAAGTCGTATTGTTAAATATATGGATAGATTATAAACGATTAGAATTGACGCATGGTCAGAATAAATACAGTTAATAATTGTATAAGTAGACTTTTTACTAAAATCTCTTCTAATTCATCCATTTTAAAGCAATCGATTTATGAAAGCTCGTGTTTATTTGCAAACCTGCGCGTTCTTGAATTCCAACGTGCATTTTACATAATGTAGATCTAATGCGAGTTTTATATAGATCCACATTTCGCCAATTAAAAATAAAATTTACCACTCACCGATACGATGCGCGACAGCGGAGTTATCTGCATCGTCATCTGTAAAATATACGATATATGATTATTATAGAATAATTATTAAAAAACGAAATTATTGCGTCAATTATTTTATACATTCTTTAAATAGATATGAAATAAGATGATTATAAAGTACTCGAAAAAAATCTCTTTCTTTTAAATATAAACTCAACAAAATTTCAACGTACATTTTTGTCTGTAACTCTCACTCGAATCGTTCAAATGAATAGGACAAACAGTGAGCAGATACTTAATTTGCGAGTATCAAATAATATATAAAATATAAAACACTCACCTCATGGTTGCTCCGCCGTTGCCCGATGCCTCCCAGACCTCCTCATCCTCTCAGATCTCCTTGTTGCACAATATTCACTCGCGAGAACGTACGCGCGAAATTTTGCGTGACACTCCCGTACGCGACGTAAAACACTGCGAAACGCACAAAGTATTCGTGCGTCGTATGACTTTCCATCGCGCAAATGTTGGAAAGCATCTGCGATAAAGTAGTTATTAATCCGCGACAAAACGATATTTTACAATGCGAATTGTCAAACTATCTAATCCTTACGCGAAATGAATTGTGTCGGCGATACACTCACTAAGATCAAGTCTATTAGTTGTAACAATTAAGATAATTCTTGATTATATTTCGAAATATACCGTAGCGACTTTCCTTGCTTCCTGCCTGTTTGAGCCACGAAGTATAACAGAACGAAATACAGCACACAAATACTAGAGCCGTACACCAGCAAATTTCTTTATCGTTTCTCGAAACTGAAAGATAGATTGCACCGAAAAAGACAGATAATTCAAAGCGCGATACGCAAAGGAGATGTAATCGCGAATAAAGTACTACAGTTCGCGTTTATATTTTAGATGAAATGGTCTCGTGAAATATCTTTCGTTGAAAAAGCCGTCGCCTCAACTAGCAAATCGTTTCTCCTTACAAATTGTAGAAATTTAATAATTAATCGACGAACGTTACTCGCTACTGATAAACGTGTACTATTCATAGCGTTTTATCCTCGCACTCATCGCGATCGCGTTTCGGAAACTGATAACGTAAAAGTAATACGACGCACGGAGCAACTCCCGACGCGGCCTGCCGGCTCGAGGCTCGGCGAGCGAATGATAGCGAGGCGACCTTCACCTTCGCGTACACAATAGCACGCAGTAAGTACGTCGTACGCGCGGGGGGCAAAACAAAAAACGAACGTTGAAAGTTCGTTGTCCCACGACTACGAAATACGAAGTGAATTGTGAATAGAAAATTCTATACCTATTATTTCTAAATACTTTGTCCAGTGACTATTACTATACATTTTGCGTATAATTCTGCGGGTCATTTGTACTGCTTAAAATTTGTACTCGGAGATTTTGCCTCAATTTAGGTAATATACGTGCAAATGTATATTACTTAATTGCAAAATTTTATTTATTATAAGAAACTAGACATAGCATGTGCGCCTTCGTGCGCGCTATGTAGCTTTAGTTTGTATTTATTCGTGATCTTAACACATTAAGATTTTCTTCGTGCAAAAAAAGACGCAATGTAAGAAGACGTAATCTGACGTTAAAAAACTATCGAAATATACACGGTCTCTGTGTTAACAGTACTTTCGCAACATGAAGTGAACCAAACGAGAAAACCAATTAACGCGGAATATCGCGGAAAAGTGTTAACAATTAAATTTCTCACATGCCTGTTTGAAAAGGGGACTTCATCTAATATGATTTGCGTAAAGATATTTCACAGAAATTTGAGAATGATAATAAAGTATTTAGAAACGAACTCAATTGCAGCTTTGTATAAAACTGGTTAAATTTGACGAATATAAAATTGAAAAGATGATTTTTTCATGGTTGCGAAGAAGAGATTGAGCAAATTTTAATTTGAAAGTATATTCTGCCGTGCCGGAGTAAGCCGCATTATGTAAATAGGGAAATCTATATTACCGAGTTATATGCCGAGTTATGTTCACCATTTTGCAGAATTAGATTGCACTGCACCTATTGCCATCAGAAACTGCATGATTTATTTTGCGCGTTCTGTAAACGCTATCCTGTGCTTTATGAGAGACAGTAACGCGGTTTGACCACTGGTCAATGATGTACCAGTATTAGCTATAATTGGCTGGAACCGTATTGATCTAACCTTCATGTAGGCGGTGTTATCTCCTATCCTTGCTGTGTAATTAGTTATGCTGGCGAATTTACATAGGTATACAGCACAATAAGTCGTTTAGTAGAATTCTCGCGAAAGTCAACAAATCTAGAGATCTTCACATGCTACGTCAACAAGTAATTGACTTATGTGTATGTGTGCGAAACGTATAAAAAAAGATGATATCGAATATACCCATCAAATAGAAATAGATAATAAAATTGTTTGTTGCCAATCGACGATATAATTGATCTACTGGAGATTCATCAAATTCCGCTGCCCTCGCTGCGAGATATTTTTGCTTTTGGCAATTTAGCCGTCGGATTAAATTTAACCGGTTTTAACTCTTTCACCCGCATTCTAGCAATTTAACGTTAACGTATAGCATATTTCGCAATTTCAGAAGAACCATCTTTAAATATGTACTTTTCCCGGGCTTTAATTTGCTGCTGCATCGTGCCGCGTACGTACGTAAAGCAATGTAACTATCACGAAGACGGAGTGTATCTCGCGACTTGTAACGCACCGTTATGAAAAACGTATAAGTCTGTAAAGTAACACAGATTCAAAGGGGAGCCCCTCTCTGTAACGGCTCAGTACCGGTTTCGAGATTTTTCCTACCCCGTTGTCAATGCGATATCGACTTTGTAATTGAGCGTTACAGGTGTTCCGAGCACTCGAACGATGCCGGCAAATTGTTCAATAACTGGAACAAATGTATATTTCGACGGTAAAGTTGTCCGAGATACGCGACGGACGCGGCTGGCGCTGACAGCTACGCATTGCGCATTTCACGGTCCGGTTTAATTAAGCGATTATTACTGCTTATTACGGAAAATATCGGCGCTGCTCCCAGATGACTTCGCAGAAATAATTTCCCTATCGCGTTCATAATTTCTACGATTAATTAGACTTCGATCTGGTCAAGTGATAACAGCGAAAATTGTTGAAAATCTAGAACAGCCTCGATGCAAAGCTTTGTCAGGAAGCGAAAGCGAATATTGCAGATATATCATTATCATTCACATGCATGACAATTGCATTAACCTTCGATGTCATCCAATTCAATCAAACTCTAAAATGCATTTGTGATCTCGTTTTTCCCGTAAAATTATTAAATTAATCACGAAATAGCACCTACTGTGTTCTATCTCGAGCGTTCATTTTGCATTGATTAATCAACTGAAAATTCCTCCAGGAGAGAAATTAGTACTATTTATTAATGATTTTTTTAGTCACTTATTTTACAATCGGTATTAATATTACTGTCGATAGAATTTTGATATGCGGATACGAATTTGGAAAACTGTAATCGTTTATTATGTTCAATGCTTTGTAATTCGCTGTTATAATTCGCAAATTTGTTGTAATGTAAATCTATCGTGTGTAATAATTTCAACTAACTCATCATACATCTCATCTGCATGACGTAATTCTTTGTCGGAATTTTCACATGTGCACATGCCAGTCCCGCACTAATGCACTTTTCTCTCTGCACATTCCTTGACGCACAGGTCTACCCAGGCCTATTTATCTCACAGGTATGTAAGCAATCTGTAGGGAAACACGAATGTATCGCATACAGATTTGATGTTAATATTATACGCATTCGCTTATTATCCATCATCAATTATCTGTTAACAAACAACATAATGCAATACAACAAACTAATTAGTGGAAAACATTACAAACAAATATTTCGTTTATTAATTTCTCAACAATTATTTTCTCATATCTTTGGTGTCATTAATGTTGCCTGAAACTTTGATATTAAATATATATTCCTTTTGTCTCGTCGACTACTAAACGGAGCTAGCCATTGACTCGCTTGCCGATGTAAAGAATTGCGACAATTATGAGACGCTAAACTATTGTTTATTATGTGGCTTGAATAATTGTCTTGACATTTACAACACACATCCATAAGTTATAACGACTCGCTTAATAGATTTTAATCCGCAGGACCAGGGACCGAAATTCCATTATCCCACATCCGAGTTACCACAACCAAGTTACGTAGCTTCACGAAAGCGCGATAGACCACTGTATTGCAGTTAAACTTGATTTACAATAATGTGCTCTGTAACATTAACAACCTTTAATGGTTATACATTGCTCCAATTATGTATATATGCTCAACATGGTATCGGTTTATAGCGTCATCGTCGGCTGTTTTGGCTAATTCGCTATAACTGGCGCCCGCGCAAGTGATATAAAATGCCAGAGATGAAAAGGATGTAGAATTTATAAAACCGCGTTTCAATGTTTTCGAATATCAATTGGTCCCCCCCCCCCTCTGATATAAGGTACGAGCTTTTCGTGGGTAGACCCTCAAATATTTTTGTTACCCTCAACATGCCCGGTAGGCATTCTTTTGTGCTCTTTATGTTTAGGTAACTTTAATTATTCTTTGGTGGAGTTCCTTTCAAGTTTCAACAACTTTATAAGTAACTTAACTACGGGAACGCCCGCAACACTGAGCCCCGAAGGGCCAATGGTGAAAGGGTAGAAATGGAAAATTCTTAGTATTGCCCTATTGAAACTCACCACAATTACTATGTTTCAAACGCAAGAACTTACGACATTCTCAGAAAATACATCCATTATTAATGTATACGTAGATGCATGTGGATTACTTGAACGTGTATGCACGACACAAAGCGGAACACGTAACGCATTGCGTCGTGTCGCTGTCGCAGCTTTTAATGTGCATTTATGAATAATGGCACCGGAATAGCAATATACGCCGTTAATGTCTCAATTATAGTACTCAACTATTATTCAGTATTTCCTTGTATATTCCTTCGCCTATAATGGGTAATCAATTTCGTGTAATGGCAGATAGATTCTTTGAATTTGCATGCATAAAATGTTACGAGGAGATGCCTAATTATTGATGCCGCTTAATTGCTCGCAGCGTTTCTACGGGCAGACTAGAATTTCATGAATGCCACGTAAGAGAGAACAATATCGCGATGCAATGGATGGAATTACACCGATACAATCAATAATTCACAAGATAAACACCGGATATTTTGAATTTATTGGTGTGTTAAATAAATCTGTTATTTGAGAAATCAAAAAAATTATCGAAGTTCTTCAAAGGTTATTCAATAGTTATGTTCTCTAGTTCTTTCATATCAATCAACGTTAACAGATAGTTAGATTTCTCACATAATCGATACAATTTCACACAAAGTTGCTAATATTAAATCACACATGTTTACGCAATATAACGTTCTATATCGATGTTGTTTAGCACATTATTTAACAAATATTATTCATGCGTTTTATTAAAGCGTGATTTGCGCTATAAGGAGCAATGTGCATTTTAATAGGAAAGAAATACGATTTTGCACTTTCAGATACCGGTAGGGATTCCCCTCCGGAACCCGCGCCACCGGAAGTACCGCCGCGTGGACCGTCTTTACACGCAACGCATACTTTACGCACGCAACAAAACCGAAATGGTTGCCCACCGAACGCATCAGGAAGTTTCACTGTGCCAAGTGACCAAATGCCGACTGAGACGTACTCGGGTAAGTAACAATTTACCCGATGCCACGTTTTAATTGTGTCCGGAAAAGTTCTATTTTTAAGCTACGAACCAAAGATACAACATAAAGTTAATTTTGTTAATAGGTTTAAACGCGTACAGGCTCCTCTAAAAGATTTCCCATGTAAAATTCGTACGCGAGTGTGTATTTACTTCTCCATAGACTAGTATGAATGCATGTGCGAACGTCAACGTCGCGAGCACTCCATGAAAAGAGCAATATAATGACGATTGAATCGTAACATGATCCATTCCACTGTCGCGGATACCGTTATGTGACGCGGTTCAGTTTTCACCGACGAATGTTTAATTTGGTGCATGCTCCGGCGCCAATTATGTAGATGTGCAGATGTGTACGCAGCGGTATGGGGTATCTGTTTAAACTAATGGGGTGTAGATTAAGGGGGAGGGTTTGCATTAAAGCACCCGTTAATTCATTGTAAATATACTCAGCGTATATTCGTTTCTCTATATTTCTATGTACATACCATTAGTATATTCCTGTGACTAAACATCGTTTGTACTGGTCGTGACGATTTTGAACATTGGAACGTGCATGTGCACGGAGATTACATACACGCGCGATTAACGTATGGTTACATTCGATTCACGTACCACTGTGCTAAACATTTATATAATAATAGAAACACGATATATTAACAAGCGCGATTACTCGTGTGCGATGACAGCTAACGAGGCTGTCGGTATTATAATTTGCAACATTTTATTATACACGATTATTCAATTTCTTAAAATTATAAGAAATTGTAATTGTGCGATACGCACGTTTAATCTACCGATACAGTTTACGATAACTCGAATGCTGAAAAGTGTTCTCGCGCATTTCGAATTTAAAAAAAGATACGAAAATAAAAAAAACGTAAATCCGTGATCTTTTATGGGAATACAAACAAAACGTTATTCGGCGCACTTTATTTCCACGGGATCACTCGAATTTTACGACAAGTGTTTTGCCAGTATATCGAATGCTCACATGGCTCACTATGCTTACACGGGAATTTATTGTAATGCATTCTCGATAATCCGTATCGTTTTAACGGAGCGCAAAGTTTGACCGAACGCAGCGATTCGCCCTCGCGCAAAGAACTGCGCGCGCTTTCAGTCCAGTGCAATTCAATAATATTGGTTCCGCGTCAATTACTAATAATTAATATAAACCACGTGCTGCATATAAACATAGATTTCGTGTAGACAAATCTTGGGGGATAGCTACGCTTTATGTGAATATAATATGATCCCATGCTAAAATACGCATGCGCTATGTGGTACCAAATCAGCTGCCGGGAAATTATTGAAAGTTACTCGTATATTGTTCACGTACACAACGAAACAGTATTTAATGCAAGCACCATAGAGATAGTAAATGCGCACGCAAATTGGCGCGATGTTGTAATCCTGTTGCTTCAAATTTATCGATACGCATCGAAGTGCGAAAATTTTAGGAATCTAGTGGAGCACATCCAGTAACGCGAAACACAAAATGCAATATTTTCCGAATAATATTATAATCAGGGGAAAGGATGAGTATCAGAACCACAAACATTTCAAAATATATGAATAATAATTTTCTTCTTCGCCGGTAATTAAATAACGGACAAATAATATGATTGGGCACAGCTGGTTATAATTTTGATTGAAAGAACTGCGCTAGTAATTTCGAATTGTGATATTATTTTCTGTCACGACGAGTAAGTTTTCGTTTATTATATTACGCGTGAAAAATTTTTATTCTTTATCAGCAAGCCAATATCTATGCGTAGCTGTTTTCCAAACTTGCAAACGACCACGGTATGATGCACACGTATGTACATTTGAACGCAATTAGATAGATTTTATATACAATAAATCGAAATATTTAAAAGTTATTATATATGAAAAAAACGAAAAGTCACATAGCTTCGACTTATTGAAAACATTTCGAGAGACTGCTTTTACCCTCGACGGTCGAGCAGATAATTTGCGAGGAAAAATTCACGTTATCTCCGGGACTGTCTAGGGAGAGATCGATATTATTATCTGCGGTACTTAAGCTTCGCGCATTTTTGCATAACTGGAAATTAGAAATAATTATTGTTGCACCTCGGGGAGCAGCGGTGTCGCGCAACAGCGACGCGGTGCACGGCAGATAACTCCCTCAATGCCTCTTTCGCGGGATATGCTCATCGAAAGTCACGTGAATAAGTAACGGAGGATTACTCTGGAGAGACTTCTATTCATTTTGCGATATCAACGATTGCATTTATATTGAATAGAGATAATGATTTTATTAATTTCTCGCTATATATCATGTGAGAAATGTGCAATATTAATTTCGAGAACTCCTGCGGGAAAGGACATAACCATTTATATAAGAATTTACATTATAATATTAAGAGATAAGACTGTGCGTTAACACCAAGAATAACGTGGCTGTTTATGAAGTGAGTATAGCAAGAGAAAGTCATGTAATGAACAGATTGGAGATGCACCCGGACTAAGTAAGTTACATGCAGTTGGTTAATGACACTTCATAACTTTGCTCTAAGTACAAGTGGCCACCCATAGTTCTGTAAAGTTTACGGAGCGTACGCGAAGCACTCACTCGGTTTCCCCGCGCATCTCTTTCTCTCGTTAAGAAGCATTTGCCAAGATAATTATGAATATAACTCCAAGTGAAACTTGCTTGTCCGGCGACTTTATGGCGAAAACGATGCCGCCGAGCTGTACACCGCATATAGAATTTCCCAATATCTTTCTATGTGTAAGATACCAATGATATATTTTCACTTTGCAATGGCACACCTCGTAATCACAGCGAGTGTTAAAGTTTAAAGATTCGGGTGGAGATAAGGCGTCGCTTTGATCGCCAGCACGTTCGAAATCTGACGAAATTGACGGAAACGCAAAATACTGCGCCAACAACCAAGCTTCAGAATAAATGGGTTTGCTTAATTATCCACGCGCACAATATCAAACTGAACATGAATTACATTGAAACTAGGCGCGAGGTCATTAGCTGCTACCGAGGGGAGATCGTCACACACCACTTTACCCCAGCTGATTTTCTAGAAGGCACCGCCCCACGATATGACGCTTCAAAGGATCCCTTTAATCGTTTTGAGTTCCAACGGGAATTTCTACTACCGCGCCTTCTCCGCTCCGAACTTTCGCATCTTGCCAAGGATGAACTCGATCTACGAGCCGTTGTTTGCTCACGCGGGGGGGGGGGGGGTGAAAGGCGGGCGAATGTTTGCCTTCTTCTGGGGTTCCTCGCTTCCTAATGTCTTGCCGAGATAGAGGCCGCGTGTCGTAAAGTGGACGGAAATTTTATTAGTATAATCGTCGCATTAACACCGAGGTCATAGCACACACGAGAAAGTGGGTATTATAAGAGGGGGTGGCGAGGGGTTATAGAGGGTGGAAGTCTTGGGTTGTGATTGGTTGACCGGAGAGACGATCGCAGATAGAGCCGCGAGGACTGCGCAATGCTTCGCGCCCTCCTGCTGGAATTGCTCTATATTAATTACCGGCTCGCTAATTACTATTTATTAGAGACTGGCGCGCACGCCACGTGGAGGCGAGTCGAGACGCGCCATTATCGCTTCGCTTCGAACGAGCACCTACGTCGTAGCGTCGTTTCAAGGCAACTTCGTTACGCCGTTCGATTACATCTTGCACTGGCGCTGCAAGAACATTGAAGCGATCCCGTATCCGATCCTCTCGAGCATCCTTTAACACGTATCGATCCTTTTTCGCCCGAAACGTCTAGGATATCCCTTTATGTCTCATATAAGGCATCGCACGAGGTCTCGGAAAGTTATATCGTATATTTTGCTGCGTTATCGAATAATGAATGCATATTGCGCGCTTTTGTACCTTGACACAAAAACGAGAGGAGAGACGAGTGAAAGGGACAATTTTTTAATTTTTAATAAACAAGTAATTAAATTTACACGGCGAACACGTTTTAAAGGTACGCTCATTTCTGCGTAGTTACTATCAAAGAAGAAAGTTTACGACGGCGATAACGCGTGCCGTGACAAATTGCCTTTAACCTATTGCGCGTCGGCTTAAGGATGCAAGATACATCTCCGGCGATAAGTAAAACGAGCACACCAGCAACGAGAATATAATAGGACACTTTTTCCACAATTTATAGAACGTTCAGGACGTTATAGGAGGATACAGTCTCATCGGCTATTAAATTCTCGCTTTGCACGCCAGATGAAACGCATTGCCGTTTTTGAATCCGGTAGTATTTGCCTTACAACTGGCATGATCATGAATTGAACAATGCTGCTATTGCTAGCTCAAGTATGAAAATTTTTTATACTCTTCTTTTTTACAGAGTACACATTAATTGGAAAACTGCATATTCAATTATAAAGGAATAATAGAAAAGCGAACTAAAGTAAAAGGGAAATTAGATTCTGCGTGATTAATTATCTAAATAAGATAAAATAAGCTTAATATTTTAATTCTTTGACATAATATGCTAATTTATTTAATCCCTATACTTCTGCTTGAGAAGATTATATTTAATGGATCTCTGCACCACCACTTACTTGAATATTGCATTAGGTCATATTTTATTCGTAAGTCCTCATTAAAGGATAATGCAACATCAATTATCGATTCTCTAAAGTAGACTAATTAATACATATGTATAGCAATAAGTATATAAATGGGCCTTGTGTAATTGGGAATTGTGCGTGAAAATACATTAATTTCGCAAAATTGCATAATTTTTTAGATAAAAATTACTTTTCTAAACTGGTTCATATGTACAACTTTGATTTTTCATTAATGATGTTTTGTTGGAAGTTTTTCTCTGAGAAATGCCCGACGAAAGTCCGCGTAGTGGTATACGAAGTAAGTGGTGCACGAAGATATAAGCAATCTGATAAATGCGCGAGAGGCTGCCACAGAATACGTCAATATTCTGTCTTTAGCTGAAGGGGGGCTATTTCAGGAAGCAGCATG